CCCGTTCCGCGGCGGCTGTGCAGTTTACAGACGGCACGTGGCGGCGCGGCGGTCAGCCGGCGAGTTACCGCCGTCTGGCGGCCGGCCGACACGCCGCTCAGAGCCGTGATTTAGTGGCCGCGACCCCCGCGGCGGTCCACAGTGCCGGTATAACAAACAAGCGGCCAATTAACGCGCCACGACCCGACCCCCGGCGGCGGAGCTGGAAGCCGGGATAGGGTCTGTTCCAGTCGCACTTCCTAACACCTCTAAACTCCTCAAAGAGCAAGATAGAGGAGGTTGGAGCAGGGCCCTCCTTGGCTTTGTAGGGGCTAGAGCTGCCACTGGAACAGGGAAGCAATCTTGGAGGAGTTTAGAGGTCAGTTAGGAAGTGCGACTGGAACAGACCCATAGGGAGGAGCATACCTAGGATAGAGGACAGTCACGGAACATTCCGGGCCGCGGTACTGTGACAAACGTGAGATGATCACGTATACTCAGTGATGAGTGACAGTGATAGGCGGGATATGAAAGCGAGCAGATGTGGCAGTGAAGGTGTCGCGACTATTACGCCCCATCATAATGCTAAAGAAACGTAGTTTACGCTAATGAGATGACCAGCAACGGGCAACGGGAGTTCACATATTGCTTGTAGTTGTATACAGGCTTTACAAAAAGATGCATGACTAATTCATTCGTGCCCATCAAGTTCAGATAGCTATAAGCATGTACTCAGCTGTTCCGACAGATAAGCCGACTGGTATGACAAGTTATGCACCCAGCCGGCAGTTGGACATATAAACAAACAAACAAACAAGAAGACAAACATGAAACAGACACTGAATCGGAGCTAGATCCATTTACAATAGTGCAGACAGCAAACCTGGTGCGGTCGAAAGAGGTCATGGGGTGGTGCTGAAGTCCATTGTATCCCGTTTCTGAACACAAATTTGTAGCCCTTGGGCATGATCGTAAGCCGTAGAAAACACCGCCGTAATCAACATCAAATAACAATCGCGTGTCACTATATCTAACAGATAAAATATTTTTATGCCACAAAAAAATAACTGACAAAACGCGGGCAGATGCCAAGGTAGTCAACTTTCAACAGCCATGAGTGGAGCACATGCTAACCAACTTTTTAGCGGCTGAGGGCGCCGGACATTCTAATGAACACACGATCTAAGCGCAGATTTTGGCGACGCCCTCGAAACAGACAGTTTGGGCACATCTGCACACAGTGCATTAGACCTACACTCGCAGAAGAAACATCGGAAACCACCCGCACGTGCTGAGGGCGCCGTATCCAGGTTTTCACCACTGTAGGTGAGATCCAGTGGCGCAGCACACTCCGCACTGTAAATACAGTGCAGGGCTGCAGCTGCACTTAGCCTCTGTTTCACACCTCATTCCGGGTGTGGGTCGAGCCCCTTATACGGCCAGCCGCCACGACTGATGGGCTGGGCCAGGCCGAGAGAGTATAATGCAAGCATGATTGTATGATGGCGACCACAGTTAGAGTGCATAAGTTCATGCCGTCATGCAGTCCAGACAGCATAGAAAATCCGAAAATATGGCACCAAAAACGTGAAAACGTGGTTCTTTGAACAAAGTTATTTCGCAATTAAGATCAAGTGGCGAAATATAAAGTCTTTCTCACGTCTATGAAGGTATCTCAAAGCCTTCAATGCGAGTATGTCGTCGGTTACCGATGCTCTTTTCATCGAGTGAGTTCGGTTCGCTTGCCTGTCGGGTTGCGCCGGCCCCAGCCGACCCAGTATCGAATTACGCACCCGTATCGAATCTGGCGGCAGCTAATGACCCGGCCTCAGCCGATGGACGGGCTACCTCTCAATGGCACCGCCGAATGGCGGAGCCAAGTTACGAGCCACTGATCCACACCCATGGCCCATTCGGACGTCATTAAATTTAGAAAATCGCCGCCAGTGGTACCAATAAAATACGCCTTCAATAACACTTAGCCTCTCTACTCAGCGTCGTTATGATACGGGGCAGCGTTTGAAGTATGGATGCATTTCTGTGCCGTGAATAAAAAAATACGTTTGAGCCTCACGAATGTTCATCAAGTGCTAGAACCAGCTCGACATGTGCACGGCTTACCGCAAAGTCAAATAACGAGCTATGTTCTAAAAAAGATAACTTAATTTCAAATTGCTCTCCGGGCATGTTACCAGGTTGTCATAAATAAATGAAACACCGTATCTTATAGCAATAGCGTTCCCGGTTGTGATACTCTTGATTCGTATAGCTACAATTTGATGGCCACCTATAAATGCAAATAGCAATGCTGAATTTTTATGCAAATATTGATATTCTCTAGACCGCAAACTGCAGTACAATGTAAAACAATGCATAGAAATCTGTTCAATATTCTGTAAGCACATATATGACAAACATCGAACTACACTACAGCCATACAACTATAACCACATCGTACCACAAGTTTGGCTATATCTCCATTTGAGGGGTTATTTCTGTTTTGTATCGCTGCCTGTGCAGGGACCGCTAGCGACATCGTTCATCCCGCTGCCAGGTCACGTCTACTGAATCCATTTACATAATATGATAATATCATATATTATTACCCAGCAATTGACAACCATTGCCGCTGGGTCTGTGTACCTGACTTGCAGCGTCCGTGTGGCCTTACCAGGCACACAAATGCATAAATACAGACATAAATGCATAGGCGCCAGTCGCCACGAGGTCAGGTAAAATAGCACAATCAATGACCAGCACATCTGTTGACGTAAATGAGTGACCATCAGCCATTGACCACGGCACCGAAATTGGTCGTATACTCAGCTGCACCTAAGGTTCCAGCACTCAGCATACATACATATGTGTTAATGGTGTCGTCATCCATGTAGAGTCAGTTCAAATGCAAATTTGATGGGACCTTGGACGCCAATGGTGAACGTCTGTCTGCCCTATTCTGATCGATATGCAGTTTGGCATCTATATCTTACAACAAACCGGTTTTAATCGGTTCAGTGCATCATTTAGGTATGGTTCATGAGCGCCCTGCAGTAACGCAGTTACCAGCTAATTTCGAGCCCTGAAGGAAGGTGAGCATGAAAGAACTTTAAAACCTGGGCTATAAATTTAGGAACATAACAATCTGCAAGTAAGCTGTGCAATTAGTGTGCATAATCTTTGCATCCATTCTATGTTTAGAAAATATACCAATCATTGAAAATATAATTCAATGCATTAATTAATCTACGCCTACCTACGGAGGACAAAATGGAGCACAAGCATATGCGACCTAGCATAGCTCAGTCTGCGAACATCTACATTATACACATATTACCGAACAAAACAGCACACTCACCGATGACGCAGCCGTCTGTGAAGAGCTGTACCTATGTATGTACTACACATATACATATCATAACTGAACAGAGAACATTCGCCGATGACACAGCCGTCTGTGTAGGAGCTGTATGTACTCAGTAGCGGCGGAACACCTTCAATTAACCCGCGCCCCGCTGGGGGGGGGGGGGGGGGCGAATCTGCTCCCCTCCCGTTGTTCGCCAATACCTTCTAAACGCGTTACGCCAGCGACGTCAAACTTTCAGTACCTTATCATACATCAATTTGACACGTTTCCTGAAAATTTGAGCGAAATCCGTCGGGAAATTTTTGAGAAATTGACGTTTTAGTGACGTCATGTTCGCCATTTTCGCCTCAAAAACAGCAAAATTTCAAACGCCGCTATCATCTTCATTTTTAAAGGAATCAAGACGTAACAAAAATGTTATACGTGATTCTACCTTGTCTTTCAAATGGCTATCTCGGTTTTTTGAAATTTTTAGATTTTGGCCCATTTTTTTCTAAAAAACTGACTTTTTTGGGAAAATAATAATAAAATCCAAAATTTTGAGTGTATAAAAAACGGAATATATGTCAGAGAAGTGGTCCATGTGCACCTACATATTAATTTTTAGAAGAATCGGTTTAAAAATGTGGGAGTTATTCAAAATTTTATGAGGTCACGACACACAAAAAATTTGAAAAATGATTTTTTGGAAGTTCTAGACCTCGTACGAAAACAAAAATAGCACCATTCGATTCGCCGTGAAAAACTGCATCGGATAGACACCTTTTTTGGCCTTAACAACCAACTTCAAAATTTGACCTCACTTGACCTGACCTTGACCTGACCTCGACCTGAAATTCATCCAGAGTTGGTCCATATCACTTATTGAGTGTGCCTATTGAATTCTATGAGTAAAATGACCCATAAAACATGTGTCGCACATGCTCTTTTCTATATTTTGATTTTGGTGACCTGACCTGACCTTGACCTTGACCTTTGAATGACATTGTGTGCAACGAATATTGTCTTGGTAGTCTAAGAACACGTTTTGGGCAATCAGTCTTAGTCCATTCTTCGGCAACTACGGTGCAAGGCCGATACTGTAGAAACTTGCATTTTGTACCCTTGACCTGACCTTGACCTGACCTCTGACCTACTTAAGCAAAAAAATTGGGGCTCTTAAGATCCACCTTGTTAAGAGCTTTCGATTGCCGTTTTCCCCGTCTTTTTACGACCATCGGTTCGGAAGTTAGACGGGGGGGGGGCAGAATCTGCCCCCCCCCCCCAGCAGGGCGCGTATGGCTGAATAGCCCTGCGGGGCGCGGGTTAAGGGGGGCACTGCCGACTTTTGGTCCCATTCTTTCCATGCAACGCCCATAGGGCTAATGTTAACATGCCAAAATCAAAGGGGGCACGGTGCCCCGGTGCCCTCCCCGTTCCGCCGCCTATGTATGTACTACACACATACATATCATTACTGAACAGAGAACACTCACCGATGACGCAGGCGCAGCCGTCTGTGTAGGAGCTGTATGTAAGTACTACACACATATTATTACTGAACAGAGCAGAACACTCACCGATAACGCAGCCATCTGTGTAGGAGCTGTATGCACTACACACATACGCGAACAGAACAGAACTGTTCGTATTACTGAACAGAACAGAGAACACTCACCGATGACGCAGCCGTCTGTGTATGAGCGCGCCCAGCCGGCGCAGCAGCCGTACAGAGTCCTGTGGCGCCGCCGGAACGGCTTTCGGAACCGGAACACACGCCGGCCCCTGCCCGTCAGCGGGAGAGGGTCAGAGGGGAGGGGCAGGGGTCAAAGGGAAAGGGGTGGTGAGGGGTCTGGGTGAGGGTGGGTTGATATTAGGTAAGGAGTCAGTGACTTGGTAGGGCTATGGGCTGAGGGAGCAAGCGGTCCGTCAGAGGAGAGGGGGCAATGAGTAGGGGCGGGGCGGCGTACGCTAGCGGGGGTCAGAAGGGTCAACTGATTAAGTGTTAGCCGGTGAGGTGTCGGCCGATGCAGACGGGTGATCTCAGCAGCTAGGGAGGGTCAGTATCAGTCAGCAGAGAAGGCCGCGGACCCCAGCGGCCGGGGCCAGTCAGCCAGGAGGGGAGCAAGGAGGATTACTGAATTAGAATTAGAGCCGACATAGTCCAAAATAAAACTTATGGTAGACGATTGAAGCCACAGACGGACGCGGCGCCTCGCCGGCTGGGTGGCGGGGCTCGGGTCATCGGGTCTCTTCTCTGGGCCGGTCCAACATTACCACCATTGCAGTGAGAACAGCAAGGTGAGATGTTAGGGGGTAGTTCGACACCTCTCCATCAGATAACAACACACTACCGCGCAGGATGCAGACAAGTTTATAGCTGCACATCCCGGTTCGTTTTTGGTCCTCGGCAACCACCATCAGCCCAAGTTACTACGGTCGGGCACGCCCAGTTTGGCCGGCGGCGGTAGACTGCACGGCCGGCCGGTCTGGCCGCAGTATTAATGACCTCCCCACATCAGCAGCGCCCGCTAATTCGGCGCCCGCCGCCGCCGGCCACCACCGTGAGCGCTGTATGCACGGACAGAGTGAGCAGGAGGTGAGATTGGTGCCGGCCGTGAGCAGGAGGTGAGATTGGTGCCGGCCGTGGGCAGGAGGGGAGATTGGTGCCGGCCGTGGGCAGGAGGGGAGATTGGTGCCGGCCGTGAGCAGGAGGGGAGATTGGTGCCGGCCGTGGGCAGGAGGGGAGATTGGTGCCGGCCGTGGGCAGGAGGGGAGATTGGTGCCGGCCGTGGGCAGCAGGTGAGATTGGTGCCGGCCGTGGGCAGGAGGGGAGATTGGTGCCGGCCGTGTCTGGCCGTCTGGACGGCTAGTAATCAGCAGTCTGCCGCAATCAGCGGCCAGCATCAGCAGGCAGCATCAGCCGCCGCTGACTAATGTCGGCAAACACAGTACACCGGCGTACACGGTCGGCACCTCTGAGACCAATTACTGAGCTAATTAACCCGGCAGGCGGTGGGCCTACCAGCCACCTTCCACGCGGTGGGGGGGGGGCACTTTTTTGCCCCCCCCGTATCTCCGAAACTACTGGACGGATCCGGAAAATTCAAACGGCGTTCGATAGCCCTGTCAAATTTGTCGAGGGAAACCAAATTTCATTGACCCCGGGGTCACCGATGACGTCACAGGTCAGGTCAAAGATAAAATGTTTCACCGTTCACGGGGCTTCTAGGGAAAGCGCTATAACACCGAGTAAAACGCATTTTGTCGAAAATCAGCGATAAGGCGTCAGTTGTCTAGTACATATGTTGCTATTAGAGTTCACTGGTCATACCAGGTCAGGTCACAGGTCAGGTCACCAAAGGTCACCAAGGGTCACCACATGAGCCCAACCTTACTAAGGTTATGCGATGCATGTTTTATGGCCAGTTTTTCATTTCCAACTCAATGGTGTTGGTTATAAGACCATCAGGTACGGTTTAGGTCACTTTCTGGTGGAGGTCAGGTCAAGGTCAGGTCAAAAAGGTCAAATTTCAAAATTGATAGTTTTGCTTAAAATGGGTATCGATTCGATGCAGCTCGTCACGGGGAGTCTAATGGTGGTCTTTGTTTTGCGCTACGAGGTCTAGAATTGCTAAAAATTGAGTTTGAAAATTTGACGTCATCAATTTTGAACAGTTTTTTCGCTATAACTTGGCCAAAAAAAGAGGTATCGATCTCAAATTTGGTATGTAGATAGAAGGCGGTAGGGGCTATCACATATATTCCGGTTTTTTTCGAAATTCAAAATACTTTTTGGATTTTTTGGCTATTATATTCAAAAAATCTATTTTTTGGTTTTTAGGGGTCAAAATCCAAAAAATTCGAAAAACCGAAATAGCAGTTTTGTAGGCCTTTTAATTTCACACCTTTTATGTCTAACACATTTTTCTTTATCTCTAAAGCCGTAGGCCTGACAGCTCTTCCCGCGAAACCTTTTTTTGGGTCGAAAATGGCAAAAATGACGTCACTCTGACGTCATTAGCGGCCAACCTATAATAGCCTTTGGAAAAAATTTTTGGTCACCATGTGCGCTAGCTGCTCCCGGGAGGGTACTGAAAGTTTGGTGACGATCGGCGCAACGGTTCTCGAGATATATCGAAAAAACTAAAGGGGGGGGGCAAAAAATCCCCCCCCCTCCACCGCCTGGAAGGTTAAACGGCCAACCGGTGGCAGCGCCGCCGGCCAACACACGCAGTAATAAACACCGCGTGCTGTCCAACAAATCAGCGCGCGTGCCGCCCCCGAGACCCGCCTCCGCCCCCCGCCCCGGGGCCCGGCGCAGCATCACACCGTCCAAACAACACACAGGTCCGGGCTGGTTCGGCTGGTTACTGACCTGTGCTTGAATTTGAAGATTTGTGGGTCGTCTTCATCCTGGAAGTCAACTGCTTTGAATTCACACACGTTCTGCCTGAAAAGAAAACGGCGAACGTTAATTATCTGTTCAATTATAAGTGAGCAGAGGATTCAACGCAAAATAACTAATCGACCAATGCAACGATCGGTAATGCATAAGATAACCCGCGCCCCGCTGGGGGGGGGGGGGGCAGAATCTGCCCTCCCTCCCGTTTTTCGCCAATAACTTCTAAACGCGTTACGCCAGCGACGTCAAACTTTCAGTACCTTATCATACATCAATTTGACACGTTCCCTGAAAATTTGAACGAAATCCGTCGGAAAATTTTTGAGAAATTGACGTTTTAGTGACGTCATGTTCGCCATTTTCGCCTCAAAAACGGCAAAATTTCAAACGCCGCTAACATCTTCATTTTTAAAGGAATCAAGACGTAACAAAAAAAGTTATACGTGATTCCACGTTGTCTATCAAATGGCTATCTCGGTTTTTGGAAAATTTTGGATTTTGGCCCAAAATTTTTCAAAAAAACTGATTTTTTTGGGAAAATAGTTATAAAATCCAAAATTTTTAGTGTATCGAAAAAAACGGAATATATGTCAGAGAAGTGGTCAATGTGCATCTACATACCAATTTTCAGAAGAATCGGTTCAAAAATGCGGGAGTTATTCAAAATTTTATGACGTCACGACACACAAAATTTTTGAAAAATGATTTTTTTGGAAGTTCTAGACCTCGTACGGAAACAAAAATAGCACCATTCGATTCGCCGTGAAAAACTGCATCAGAAAGACACCTTTTTGGGCCTTAACAACCAACTTCAAAATTTGACCTCACTTGACCTGACCTTGACCTGACCTCGACCTGAAATTCATCCAGAGGTGGTCCATATCACTTATTGAGTGTGCCTATTGAATTCTATGAGTAAAATGAACCATAAAACATGTGTCGCACATGCCCTTTTCTATATTTTGTTTTTGGTGACCTGACCTGACCTGACCTGACCTTGACCTTGACCTTTGAATGACATTGTATGCAACGAATATTGTCTTGGTAGTCTAAGAACACGTTTTGGGCAATCAGTCTCAGTCCATTCTTCGGCAACTACGGTGCAAGGCCGATACTGTAGAAACTTGCATTTTGTACCCTTGACCTGACCTTGACCTGACCTCTGACCTACTTAAGCAAAAAATTTTGGGCTCTTAAGATCCGCCTTGTTCAGAGCTTTCGATTGCCGTTTTCCCCGTCTTTCTACGACCATCGGTTCGGAAGTTAGACGGGGGGGGGGCAGAATCTGCCCCCCCCCCCCAGCAGGGCGCGTATGGCTGAATAGCCCAGCGGGGCGCGGGATAATGCAATTTCGGCTGGGGCTCTCAACCCCTAGTGAAAATTGAATGAGACTATTTCAGCTGTCCGCATCTCAGCGAGCATTGTTTAGGACGTGACGAGAGAAGAATAAAAGTGGGGACCCTAACGTCAAAAACTATCCAAAATATTAATAAAAGAACATTTATTTTATCATATCAAGACAAGACAAGTTAACGAGACGTCAAAGATCACATGTTTATCGGTCGGATGGATGATATGATTGAGGCGGAACGTTCCCGGAAGTTCCCGAGTTGACATTAACATCGCGACCTATCATTTTTATGATTAATGCCGCACTGTTCGTCGAAATGCCACCCGATCTGGATGTCACGCCAGTTTACGACCATGTTGAGGAGTGTGATGAATGGCGCCAGCGCCTGTGTGCGGCGCTGCTGTTTTGTTTGGCCGTGGCGATGGCAATGGAGACGGTGACTTTCTCCCGGTGTTGAAAGAGAGGTACCGTAAAACCGCCAAAGACCCTGGACAAAGCGGACAGAGGGAGATGTATTTCCGCGATCTGTCTCAGAGACAAACACCATAACTCTTTGGCGAGGTAGCCGCCGCGATGTTGTCGCCGGCGGCCGGAGTCGACACAGGCGGGCGGGGCTGCGATCGGCACAGTTGGGACGGAACAACCACCGCGCCACCTACACTAGTAGTTCGGACCATGGACGCCAGAGGCTGCTTCCGTGCTTCCATGAGAGGTCCAAGATGCGCACTGAGCAATCGAGTAGCAGTAAAACATTCACTTTGAAGCCATGATTGGTGCGTCCGAAAATTGTAATTTGTATACTTCAATGACCAGCCAGGAGCTGTAAGGTCAATTTCAAATTACAACATCCGATATTCGTCTTAAATGTACTTGGTATTGCCCGTCGGCAAGAAAAAAATCAGAAACGTACGATATTCATGGATTTACTCAATCGTGCCAATTTTTAGATTGGGGGGGGGGGGGAGGCGGAGAGCTGCCCGGTACCGGTATTTGTCGTATGTGTCGTTTGGCCATTGGGGTGGCCACAACCCTTACTGCCTGTAACCTGTAGGTAAGTACCTACCTACTCGACAGAACGACCGAAAATTAACCATAGTAGATAGATCGTTTTAAGATCCTTATTCATCTTCAAAGTTCATTGATGGTAAAGTATGTGAGTCACGAAAATGCACAGAAACACTAGTATTTGGAACACGCCAAAGTGATTCACAAGGTTGCATTCATGTTAATTTTGAAGAAGAAACAACCGTTTTACTCAATGCCGTCGGCGGTCGCTGTGCAGTGCACGAAGAAACCCCCCAAATGGAATATCTCCCGAGTCCCCTCTGTCTGCTCATTTGAAACACGACGCCAGACATTCGTATGGCGTCGCAAAATGTTGTCGGGTCGCTGCACCATCAAAAGGCCGGAACTGCCACTCTCATAAAAACGCCCCGGACAATTGGGATAAAGCACACTGCCAGCAGCTTCCACTCATTTTAATCTATTCGTTGCAATTTCAAGATACTCGCAGTTGCGTCATGCTCAGCTCGATATTCCAGGAACACCAGTGCAGTGGTGTCGTGTCGAGTCTGACCCATCGTAGACTTCAGAATGAAGTGCGACCTCATGCACCCATTCTTAACGAGCGCACACGATTCCGCACTGACCTAGTATGTATGACCTTTCCAGGTTAAGTTAACATACATAGGTATTGGCAGTACGAAGAGTCTCTTTTGAAAGATATTCGTTATGGTCAATTTACAACAATAACTAGGATTTTAGTAAGTTCCCAAGGGCAAGGTGACGCCCTCAGAACGTTTCTCCGAAGATATCTGACTCTATAGCGGTTTGGCTGAAATAATTGAATTCGATACCATTGATTTGACTCGCTCTTCCTGAGAGCTAGTTTTGTTATAGGAGCTCAACGCCAGGGAAACGGATCGCATCGATCCAATTCCTATCCCATTACCCAAATCACCAGGGTAATGGATTTATAGTCACCGTGGGTAATGGATTGATCGATAGAATATCATTGCATGTGTTGCAGCTGTAAGGGCGCATGGATGCACTTCAAGCACAAAAGAGCACTGCAAAACTGGTAACAATGAGCCAGATTCGATAATGACCCGGCGGCAATAACTCGTTCAAGTATTGCCCATTAACCCCTGCGAATAAAGACCATTGGTAAGAAATGAATAATGCTCAAGGAAAAGGTCCACGAGCGTCAAAAAGAGATTTTGTCAAATCAATGAATACAAATGTGCCATAAAGTCCCGGAACAGATTCAGCCTCAGTGTGCATATCCCCTTTCGAACTTCTTAGTAAAGACCAGTCATATTATGGTGCGCATTACCTACACAAGACACAACGAACGAATGTCCGAATATTCACTTGATTTTACAATCGTTACCTATGTATGTCTTGCGATTTACACCTTAGACTATTACCAAAGGAAATACAGCATGGATCACCGAAAGTTTCACATTTATCACCTTCCCAACCCCAATCGATAGATTTTCCTTTTGCACAGCCTCAATATCTCGATCTCGCCGCAGGGGATGAGGCACTAGCACGTACTGCCATTAGACCGTTTACGACCTGGTAATGCTCACGAGAAGTCATAACGTTAAGACTGGCCGCCCATTGCCGCTGAATTATCTTTCTGCACATCTCATCGGCCACTTCGAGATGAAGGAGTGCTGCCGAACGGTTCCTGAAACACGGGGCGCGTGGAACTCCGCTGGTGAGGCTGCATAGTGCATACAGGAGTATGTTATTGGGGTCGGTAAACAGGGTCGTTGGTCTCACAATGCCGTAGGTATATTGGGACGTAGCCGTGGGTTGGACAGACTAAGAAGGCCGTGGATCACGAAGAGGGACCTCGGATCCTACCCTCTGAACAGAGCCGTGGGACGGTCACGTGCAGGATCAAAGCGGTGAGTATGAGAGAGCCGTGAGCCGAGGCCGTGGAGTGCAGCGGGTCGTTCCATCTGCCGCCTGCTATCGCTCGCTGTGGACCAACGCCGCAAATGACTGCTGCACGGCCGCCTTCAGCCTAACGACTACTGATAATGGCGGGGCCTCACCCACTGGCCACGGAAGCCCAGCGCAGCCGGGAACCTGACGTGTCCACTGCACCCGTCTCCCCTCTCATTCCACAGCAACAGGCAGTAATGGGTCAGGCTCGCATTGCTGTGAAACCTTGTAGACGTTCAGTGAAAATATGGATACTCGTATAATTGCGGTGCATATTCTACGGGTACCATAAGCAAAGAAATAAACAGTGAATTAAGGATGTTTCGACAATGTCGACAAGATGATTACCTAAGTATGGACGCTATTACATAATGCCAAGGCTATTCAACTGTGTGAGAAGTGAGCTACTCGGTAATTGTAGGGTTATGAACGAGGACACTACCAATGAGCCACCCTGGAGTCTGTCCAATTAACAGGCCACTTACAGCGGCTAAGCAGCTGGTGACTGCACACAGAGATAGCCATGAATCAGCCCCGCAGAGAGGAGGCGTCCCGCCTGCTCAGTCAACGAGGATGTATGGCTCCCCGGTGACCGCCGGAGTTCACAGCGGCGCGGCCGCAGAGCTCCCAGCCGAGTCCGCTCGCGCCCGCCGCGACTGGGCCGGACCACACGCCGCTGCATACCAATCACCACCCACCGGATCAGCAGAATCACTCGGCACACAGGGCTCGGATCAAT